CCCCCCCCCCCCCCCCCCGCACATGCGCGTGCCTAACCCCCAAGGTGCTGCACATCCAAAATCCCGGAAAGCCGCAGACGTTTGAGAACGTGGCCGCCTGGCTCAAGGAGGCTACGGGGGCACAGCTCGAAGGCGTTTCGATGGACGAGTTTCGGCGACGGCTGGGCAAGGCGGTCGAGGAGATGGGGCCAAAGGACGGCGGCGTCCTGGCTCAGGTACACGAACACATTCGTTCGTTTGTTTTCAGACGTGGCCCACCCCAATGAAGGAGAGGTAGCCCATGTAGCCAAGCCCCCCCCAAAAGTATGATGCCATAAATGTGAGAGGAGTGCTTTGCTTGGCTGTTTCTTTTCGTGGTTCGCCTGCAACTCGCTCCCTTTCAGTACATCGAGATTCCTCGTTGTTTGCTCATTTGGTCTCGGTTGCTTGATTTATTTCGGCTCGTGCCACTGATGGCCGCCCTGGATGTGCTGTCAATTCTTGTTGCACACACTCTCGCGTTGGAAAGTAAGGCATGGTTCATCGTCTGAGCACCAGGCCAATCATCATCGAGTAACAAAATACAATCGAATCATCGAACTGCTTAAACGAATGTACTTTGTTCTGGAAGCGCGTCGGCAGTTGCCCTCTCTACTCCCATTTCTGTCGTTCCGTCTCTCTGCCTGCCTGGCTTCCTGCCCATCCCGTGCCTCCGTCTTGATCGACCTCGCCACCTGTGTGCACTACACTATCCAAGTACCCACTTCCTGCGTGAGGGTTGTGTTTCTGACCCACACTTACCTCTCAACTCTTGCCAATCCCAACCGCCAACCGCCACTGACGCCCGCCGCGGCGCATGTGCTGCTGCTGCTGCTGCTGCTGCTGCTGCTGCTGCTGCTGCTGCTGCTGGCTCAGCTGGAGTCGGGCCTGGACGGGTTCGCTTACTACCTCGCCGACCCGGCCATCCTGGACTGCGCTGGGCTCGCGGCGGCGCTGGAGGGATCAGGCATCGACTGTCCTTTGCTAGACAAGGACCTCATCAGCGTCTACGCCTCCACTCTTGCCGCGGGAAGAGAGTAGTCTAGTAGACAGACTACGCGGCACACGTCACTCTAGTGCTTAGTAGCTCAGAACGACACGAATATTTGAACAGGCCGTGAGAACTCGCAGCCGACCTCAAGGACCTACCTAGTACATGTAGTCTATCCCCACAGACGTAAACAGTGTACAGGGACCATTGGTTTTCGTGGGGGCTAATTGCGTAACCTTCGTGCCAAGAAGAGTGCCTATCTCCACGGCTGTCTTAGAAATGGCGAGGGCAACGATATACCTCGAAAATCCTTGACCTGTCCCTGATGGATTGATTGCCGTTGTCTCTTGTCTGGAGTGAAGGTGACGATTCTTAGTGATGTCAGTTCCTTCTTGAAAAGGCTTGTGTCTTGTTTTTTTACCTGCGGGGGGCGTGCTTGGGACAATCGTGTTTTGTCACAGCCGATCGCTTTCACTTTGCTGGTTGGTTGTTTGTCCTCCCGACAACAAGCACGAGATGCACGAACGATGCCAGTGTTCCTTTGCAGAAGGGAAAGATCACCGTTTCAAGAAACTTCTACTTGTATTGGCCGTTTCTGTAGAGGCGTGAATGTGTCCCCATTCAGCCTTGGTGCTGCCATTAAGTCTTGTGGCGCCTCTTGAGTCTTGGAACGTGCTGCTATGGTCTGAGTGTTTTCCCCGTTGGAAGGCATAGCTGCTCCAGACGGGGTCGTTCATGTTTCCGGCTCTTGAGTTTTTTTTTTTATTGCTCAAATGTGACTCGGTCGAAGGGAATGATGTTGGGGGGCTGTGTGCTGGAAGTGAGCAAAGAAAGACGAACATGCATTTTCAACCTGCAAAGGAAAGCCATGCCAACATAGTCCATTTGCCAAGGGAGTGAAGATTGCACAGACGGTTTACCGACCCGAAATACGGGTAGTGGCCGCTGTGAAATGGTGATCCGGGGAACTTCCATTATTGGATCCACGGAACTTACTAGAGGGGTTGGGGAGGGCTGGTTAAATGCATGTCGCTAGGAACACATGTAGAGTACTGTCTCCCTTTTTGCGACAAACGATAAAGTGGCAGCCGTACTCCACAACACATCAAGTAGGCATTGATCACGATAGCGCTGTGTTGTGTAGTGCAGTAGTGCGGCAATTTCTGTCCTTCTGGCAGTTGCAGACCTCCTGCGCCACTAGCTATTGTTGTTTTTCTGCCGCCACTAGCCATTGTTGTGTTTCGTGTGTCTACGCGTTAGCAAGTGCGTTCATTTCATAGTGCATCTCTTTGAAGTACAAAAGAGAAGCACAATCACAAGACAGGAGGGCCATGAGCGTGTTGGAGGGACAAATACCAAAAGAAATACCACAGGTCAGAAGGGCGATGAGCACGTTAGAGGCACGCATACAAAATAAGCAAAATCACAGGTCAGAAGGGCGATGAGCGTGTTGGAGGAACGGATACCAAAAGAAATGCTACAGAAGGGTAATGAGCGTGTTGGAGCAGGAGAGTTGGCGTTTCCCGATGCCCTTGCTGCTCTCAGCCTAGATATAATGTTGGGTTCATGTGTTCGTGTCTGGTGTAGGAGGTTACGACCAAGTGCGCGAGGCAAACGCGAAGGAAGTTTTGTGGGTGTGCTTGATAATTACCATGCGGGTATTGGTAGATCACATGTTGCGTTGCATGCCTTGGAGTCTGGACAGCAACCATTGGCAGGTTCAGGTTGCGTGAGTAAAACGTTTGTGGTACATTCAATTTCTGTTATGGCACGAGCCGATGCGGCAAGCAAGAATATCTAGAAGGTAGCGAAAACCGCGGGCGATCGGTGGCGGTAATGTGCCGGCCGCGCATCGCATCAGCAGGCATGTTCCGTTGCCTACATACCGGTCGCCCCGGTGGTCTAGTGGGTAGCCTCGCAGCCTGCTAAGGGCCAGGTCAGGTTCGAGTCCCGACAGAGAGTTTTTTCTCGCTGACTAAATCCTGGTCTCCGTTGGAAGCGACGCGCTGTAAAGCTCGTTGTTAGTAAACTTGATCGACTTCATAAGTCGCGAGGGAAGGGATTACTGTACCCTTCTCGCGATAAAAATATCTCAGGCGGGAACCGCAGGAGGGGGTCCAACTCCCCCACCTATGTGACCTTGGTTGGGTCGTCTAGCTGGTACAAGTGGAGGACAGGGGCCAGAGGGGCAGACGACAGAGTCCAATGATGGAAAAAAAAAAAACAGCGTAGGTGTACATGTGATGATGTTGCATGTAGGCTGTGTACTGCTTCGGCCTTGCTTTTTGTCTTGCGTGCATGGTACACAGCTGCAGGTCATTGGTGGGGCGTTCTACAGTAGCTGGTTAGCTTGTCGTGAAGCAAGTATGTACGGAGTTGATATGTCGTGGAGAGCAAGGTCCTCATGGGCGCATCGAGAGCTCAGATGCGAAAATGAGAGATTGTTGTTCATCCTACAGGTGAAGATGAAACACATAGATTTTGTCACGCACGCATACATGAAAAGATTCGAATATCCAAGGTGAATGAAAGCAAGAGAAGAGGTGGCACACCTGTGTGGGGAACAATCGTCAGTTGTCAAGCATGTGTACCCGGTATTGATTTGAGATGTACCGTTGCCTTCGACCCGTGGCGGGAGATATGATGGAATTGGGTTGCTTCGTGCTGTAATCCCTGGGGTTGGTCCGATGAATGACCTGCATCATGACATTGTGATAGCAAGTCGACGAGTATCGTCGCGTTGCCTGTCTGAAGTGTTCCAGTTTTTAGCGGTTAATACAGTCGAGGGCGCACACAGCGACACGCTTGCATGCTCACCGAGCACGACAAAAAGTTCTGCTAAGCAACACGGACAACAACACTACCTCCATATGCTTGCCGTCTGTGTCGATGCCCACCGCCACATGAGCAAGGCATCCACCGGTCTCATGGCTTACTTCGTAATACGTGAGATCGTGCTGTCATCAACCTCATCGCTCAAGTTACGTGCTATCCTACGCAAAATACGCTCAAGTTACGCACGTAGCAAGATCACATGGATGGGTAGCATGCGGCGGACCGTCTGTTGCTGCTGTTCACGGGTGACGACTAGTAAGCGACGTTGATCGCTACCGACTTGATGAGCAACTCGTGCAACCCAAATCGACAGAGACGATTATCTTGTGAGCTTTACAGCACATTCTGAGCATACACTATACAGCAGCCGCATGTGTACAACGGTCAAGAATCACAAACGCAAAAAAAGAAAAAAAGATGGTGGCGCGCAGCACGCAGGACCCTCTCCTCTGTTCAACCGGCCGTTCCCATGGCGAAACGAACACGGAACAGTCAGGGCCGAGTCGTGCCGGCCACGGAGGGTGCAAGGTGCTCAAATTCACGGAGGGTTCATGGTTTGCGGTTCCCTACCGAACCATGCTTGCGGCGCCACGAGATTTGCACTGTAGCTCAAGATCAGCGTTCGAGACCGGGTCGGTCCAAGGGGTGGGGGATGCGAATGAACACTCCACCCACCGATTTCGAACGATTAGACTGAAGCAAAGGATGCAGCATAGGTTAGCACGTGCCCATGAGGATTGTGGGTTGATCAGTGACATATGCATGTTAGCGTGCCTACATGGCTATGGTACAACATATCGCCTTCAGTGAGTGTGGGTGGACACGTGGACACCCTAGCGTGGGGGGGGGGGGGGGGGG